TGCTCCGTGATGACTCTAGGCATTCAAGGTAGACAATGCATACTTACCTACTTACCTGTGGCACCCTGATGCCCATAATCTGGTCTTCACCTCTCCTGAGAAGAGACTCTCAATCACATGTAGACACTCCTCTAAACATAAATCAGATGAAAACCTTTGGTGTCTATAAAACTATAGCATTACCATAATGAAGAGGGCTGGCTACTACGTGAGTGCTTTGATCCTCAAAGGAATTGCTTTGAATCATTTCTCACTGTATTTTTAGAATTCCTCTTTGCTCCGTTTGTAAATAGTGTGTGTTTGTAGCACAGCATTTCATTACAGACTTACATGGGTTTCAATATATTTACCTTTATGACAGTGTAGTAAAATGCTCGCATTTCTTAAATGCTTAATGTTTTTGGCCCTGTTAGATATAAATGGGTGGAAATAGCCATGCATATTTTTAAATGACTTTACAATCCATGGATTTTTGCTTACTGGAAAAAAAAAGTATATAATCCCCGTGCAGTCCACAGTGGATACAGGGGGCTTGATGAGAATCATCAGAGATGATTGATTTTGAAAACAAAACAGTTTTTGTGCAAGACAATGGCTACCACAAGTCGGTAAGTGAGGTTTTTTGTGTTTATTTTTCTCTCTCATTAAACAAACCTCAATGAGGAGAGCAATGGAAACACAGAAGGATATATAAAATGAAGCTGTATCTTTTATATAAAGAAAATGCCTTCTGCTGACAGTAGTTCTACAGTAGATCTTTTCTGGAGAGAAAAAAAATGCTGGTGCTTTTTCGGATTCTGAGAATGCAACCAATCTGTGCCTCTGTGTGATAGCAGCTGCATGCTGAGGACTTTCAAATACACAGCTACACAGGATTCTGCAGGAAACTTTTTGTAGAAGGTGCAAGTGACAAATGGAGACAAACTGAAGTGAGTTCTGAGTTGTGAGTTGATGTCCTCCTGTGTCATATATTCATGTCATCGAACCAATTTTCACATTGGAAGCCTAGAAGCACAATAGCCTTTTCTCAGTTTGTCAGCTGTGAACACACCTGGATTGGCAACTTTTCTCAGCTCCATTTCTTGTCATTCACTAGGTGGACTGTATTCACGTGTGTTTCTTAATACACAGCTGCTTTCTCAGTTTATGGATAAATCAAAAACTTTATTGATTTGAGAGAGAGAGAGAGAGAGAGAGAGAGAGAGAGAGTTGTTGTTCCACTTATTTATGCATTCATTGGTATGGACCCTGACCAGGGATCGAACCTGCAACCTTGGTATATGGAGATGACACTTTAATCAACTGAGCCACCTGACCAGGTGTCTTGATGGATTTTCAAATGACACAAACTTGTTTCTGCATATATTTTCTCAAAACTTTTGCTCAAGAATATCCATAAAGTTTCAAATAAAATGCTAACAATGTGTTCTTTCTTCCTATAAATAGCAAGTCTCTATATTTTTCCTTTGCAACTTTAAAATTTGGTTTTACTTACTGGTATCATTTTCAAAGTTAAGAAATAATGTTAAGTTTAACTATATAGATTAATAATGTTTCAATGTATTCCCAATCCATTCAAATTTCCAACATAGACATTAGACTTTTATGAAAATACTTTTTATGCTGCAAAATTGAAATGAGTATCAATTACATTGACTTGTAGTAAAAAACAGGCACAGTCTTTAAGGATATTTGAGTTTGACATGAACTCATTTTTATTTTTGGTCTTGACAGCAAAATCTTCTGCCAAGAAGAGACAGCAAAACACACATTGAATTCATTGATGATTTTTTCCCAAAATGGTAATAATTAAGCAAAATCATTTTGACACCTAAAGTCTCAGTTTTAGACAATTAAATTCTGCTTCCGAAAAGGGTTATTGCCTTCTGAAGCAACACTAGAAGCAACATTCCTCAGGGATTAAACTATTCCTGCAGGACCATCCTCTCCAGCCCATGCACTGTCATCCCCCCACCCCCACCCCAGCATGTATTCAGGATTTTTCAAAACACTGCCCCAGTTCCTCATGATCTTTCCGTTTCAAATGGCGGCCCAGTCCAATCAAATACTGGCATATCATAACATAAAGCTTATAATTCAGGAGAATATTAAAAAGTCCCTCAAAGTAAGAGCCTACATCTTACTTATCTTTGTATTTCCAAGACCAAACCTACAACATTTCCTAGAAGAGTAAACCTAGTGGGCATTCACTAATCTGAGAGATCAGCTGATACTGGAATCATACTTTATGTATGTATAATATTTCCATTTATTTAACCTCTAAAATAACCATAGAAAGACTAAATTACCATTCTTATTCAACTTATGTAGAAACTGGGAATCAGAAAATGGTTTTCCAAGTCACATGACTAAAGCCAGTGGCTTTTATTTTCAGTCTAGAGCCCTATCTCTACACTGATTTCTTACCCCTATGTGGCCTGTTTTTATTTGTAAGACACTCTTCTTAGACCAGATATAAGTTTGAAACGTTTTCTTTATCAGGTACATTATTTGTGTTGGAAAGGACTGCAGCCCATTTATTAAAAACCCATGTTACAAAGAAACTCAGTACACCCAAAACTGTTCTTCACAGGTAACCCCCCAGTAAACTAACTCCAGAGCATTCGATTACATGAAAGTGTGGTGAGCATATGACACACAACAGCTGTTCTGGATGTGTTGCTGTGACAGAGGCCAAATATATAAAGTATATATGGAGAGAGTTCTGAATGTTTGATTTCAGTTCTTGTCCCTATCATTCTGTACAGCAGCTGAAAAAAGGTCTCATTGGATTTAAGTGTGTGTGTGTGTGTGTGTGTGTGTGTGTGTGTGTGTGTGCGCACGCGCGCATGCTCTCCAGTATAAGAAATTATGTTCTCCCTGGCACCCCTCCATTCTTATTTCTGGAGGTCCAGTGAAGGCCATCTAATCCTGTTCCTATAGATGAGCAAGTATAGGCATTCTTAGACTTGATATTTTGTCATTTTGATCTTTTAAAGAGTAAAATATAATTAACATTTTGTGTAATTTATCAGTGTCTTGGCTGATCATTCCTGAATATAGGTCAGAGAGAGAGGAGCAAAGAATCAGAGAGAGAGTAGCAGAAGTTAGAAAACTGCTAATTCTAACGTACATAAATACACTCTTCTTTCACTTAATTTGAGATATTTGTGGTTTGCATGTTCTCCCTCATTTTTTTGTGCACCACTGTGTCTGCTCAGCCTAACATCTTTCTTCATATCAGGATTCAATGGGAAGGGAAACGGCGACTAAATAAACAGGATCAGATTCCTTCTCTTCCAAGCCTCCTCATCCAACAATGTTACTTAAACTTTTGATACTTATATTATGGAGTGATTAATTTTAAACATAATGGTCAATGTATTTACTTTGATATCTGCTTAATAAAAATAGTGTTTTGGAGGAGAAAAAAGCCATCACATTAAAGTTCCCTTAATAGACTTTTGAGCCATCCAGACACCCTAGAATCACATATGAATTCTATAAAAAGAAGCAAAATAATAATTAAGTAGTGACTAAAGCAGTGTCTAGCTACTATATTAATTTTAGAAAGATACGTTTGGTGTCTAATAGAACTCATAGTAATAGTTTCTCAAGACTCAAATAGACCTTTGAGATTATTTGGCCTATTTAATTCATTTTCTAGATTAAAAAAAAAGAGACTTCAAAAAGTAGTTTGATATTTGCAGTAAAAAATATGACTTAATGGACTGCTCCTTAAAAACCATGTGACATTAGGTGCATCATTTAAATGCACTGGTCCTTGCTCTTTGAAGTGAGCAGGTACTGTAAATGCCTGGCCCATAGTAGGCAGATCCTAAAAGACAACAACATGTTTTTCCATCTCCTTGGTAAGGATGCCACCTTACCAACTGACAGAGGTGCCCTATTTCACTTAAAGCATGTTCTCTTAGTTTGGTGGTTTTCTGGAATCTGCCTTTTTCTCTCTATGTTCAAGATCTGTGTAATATAGAAGGACATCCAAGGTGGTGGCTCTTTTTATTTTGAGTTAGGGAAGTGTTGGGGGGAAAAACATGCAGCTTTCTGATAGAACAGAAGTTGTAGGGTTTCCTTTCATTCCCTTTATTTGTAAATCACATACAACCAAATGTTTCCTTATAGACTATAAGTGGTTCAGAAAGGTTCATAGAAGGCATGTGCAAAAGAGACTTTCTATTTCCAGACCAAGAAAACAGAAATAACTTTTGTTTGTTTATTTGTTTGTTTGTTTGTTACTCCTCACCCAAGGATATTTTTCCATTGATTTTTAGGGAGAGTGGAAGAGAGAGGGAAAGACAGAGAGAAATACCGATGTGAGAGAAACACATCAATTGGTTGCCTCCTGCATGATCCCTGATCAGGGTCTGAGCCAGAGAGGAGCCTGCAACCAAGGTACGTGCATTGACTGGAATGGAACCCGGGACCCTTTGGTCCATAGGCCGATGTTCTATCCACTGAGCAAAACTGGCTAGGGCATATTATGTCTTTTTTTAATAAGCAAGATATCTCTGTTAATATGCTTTAGGTTTAAAATACTGTTTGTTGATTATATAGAATTTCTGAAAAGTTGATCTTTGTAACAGCATCAG